TTGATATTTTTGTAATCTTCCTCCAAGCCCCGAAGAAAACTCCTAGCTTCAGCAGTAAGTTAAGTAAGACCACTGTACTCTGTGTGAAAGCAGTGGTCTCTCTACTGTGGTTTGACATACCTCATGCTGAATCAGACCAATAGCCCTGCAATCAGCAGGGAGCATGCGCTTGGCTGATTAGAGTGCTGCAGACTTGTCTCAGTAGTGGGCATGCTAGACAACTATAGAGAGACCACTACTCTCACACAGCGCACAGCCATAGAAGATCTCTGCTGGAGCTGGGTTACAAAAATAACAAACAGTAAGAAACATATCACATACTATTTTAAATCCATTTTATTTATGTAAGTTGCTGAAAAACTTGGATTTAGCCTCCATTCACATTTGTGCGTCTTTATTTTCATGTTTTTTAGCCAGTTTTTGCAGCACATTGATGTACATTTTTGATACACTAGGTGCTATCATTCTTGTATCTGCTTCTTGTTTGTCCTGTGTTGTGTACTTGTACTATCTGAGCAATCATCTCCACTATGATATGGTTTTTGGCAGCAACACTGTTCATGGAGAAAAAAGTGGAGAGGGGTTGTATCTCATTTTGTATAAACCTCATGGGCAATGTCCTTCAGGCTTGCAGGAATCCTTGTAATTGTTGTTGCTGGTATCATACAGCAATATCCTTGACCTTACCAGCAATATTAGTTCTTCATTATGAAGCATGGTGTGGCCTACTTTCTCCATCTTCCTATGTAGACTCTTTAGTAGATTAGATGTTGCTAGGAGGTTATGCAAAAAATGCACCAAAAATGCATTAAAGTACATGTACATGTGTGTTTCATGTGCTCCCACTGAAATCTACAGGGCTAAAAACACACTATGATACACCAAAAGACATGCATGCACTTTTTCCCAAGGCCAATAGAAGCTAACTGAATAGGTGTGAAAGGGCCCCATAGACAATTATGTAGTTCCTATTGTTGGACACCATTGTACAATGAATTGCACAGCTTTGGAAGAGTACTACTTTATTCCTGATGAAGGTGGTGGACTTCTTAAAATTTGTCCCGAAACAGTCAGTACAGATTTGACCTTTAAATATTTCAAAACAAGAAAGGCAGAGACGCTCATCATTAAAGCCAAATTCTAGTTTATTGAAAGTGTAGTGCCCCTCTAGTTAGTCAGGGGGAGCTAGTTAGGTTTTTAGTTAGAGGCTGGATAGCAGCCTGGTATGAGTTAGCCTAGAATGAGTCAGCCAGGTAAATTTAGGTCAAGACTGAGGGCTCTGCAGGTCAATTCCCTGATACCCCCCTGCTCTAGAAGCTTGAGAAGTTTCTAGAAGGCAGTGGGTGGGGGTAAGAAAGGGCTGATCAGCATACTCAAGGGATTCTGACCAATTCCCAAGCAGGAGGCTTGCCATGTGGTCAGAACAGCCCTTACACATGAGGCCAGGAAGTAGTCAGTGTCGGGTGGAAGAAGGTGTGAGAAGGCTGGATTGTGGGCCAACCTGCAGGCAGGAGCTGGGAAGGACGATCTCTCAGTCTCAACCGTCCCCTGAGAGAGAACGGTCTTGGAAGCAAAGAATAAGCCAGCAAAGCATAAGACCTGAATGCAGCCACCAACCCACATGCTTACAGGAGAGGACAGAGTGAGTAATCCTGCACCCCCCGGCCCAGATAAAGGGAGAGGGAAGCCGGGTGCCAAACCAACATAACTCATTGCCTGGGGCTGCTCTACTACAGTGCAGTTTCTGGGTCTCATTTCTCAGGGATTCCCTCAGGCAGCTGGGTGAAGAGGAGGATTCATCTGGGGTCTGAGGAGGTACACCAGAAGTGCTGCAGAGCTCTTCAAGAGAGGATATTTGTGTCTATGCACTTGTACAGAGTTGCTAAGGAAATTTGTCCTCATGTTCTACAGTTCCTTGGGCATCCCATACACCCTTCAACCCCAACCAAGTTCAATACCCCTTCCCACAAAAACAAGCTCAAAGACTGTTTACTGTCTCCAGAGTGCAAGTGTGGAAGAAAATGCGTGTGGCCTGGCTGTGCAGAACTATAAGGAGACCCAAAACTCAGCAACTCCTAAGGAGGTAGTGCTACAAAAGTAATGCACTAACAGTTCACCTGGTGTCATAGTAGCCCCCAGCATGTTTCATTCCTCGCAAGGGCTTAGTATTAGGACATCCTATGACTAAGGTCCTGCGAGGAGTGAAATGCATTGGGGCTTCTTTGATAGCAGGTGAACTGTTTGTGCCATACTTTCAATAAACCAGAATTTTGCTTTTATGGTAAGTGACTCTACCTTTCTTATTTTGGAATATACAAAGGTTATACAGTATGTGTGGTTGCTCAAGACCATGGAGAACGAACTCCTGCAGCCAATAGAGAATGCAAGCTAAGTATAGTCTGCAGCAAAGCATTGTTCATTTATACTCAGTGCAAACTACTATGTATCATGTACAGATCATTAACCCTTCATTTTGTATGTTTGTGAAATGTTGTTTTCTTCACTGTCAGAGTAAAGTTTTTTTAAAGTGTTTAGGATTTGAAGGTAAAATTTCTGTGTTCTATAATACTAATGTCACAAAATGCTACAGAGTAGTGCCCACTACTGTAAGATACAGTAAATACATATAATATGTCTATTGAGTCATGTTACCTGAGCCACTGCAAGGATGGCCACTGTGAGGACAAAGGGAATAGACCACGTAACCAAGTGGAAGTACGAAGTCTTGCCGGAGAGGGGCTGGTGAGTGGTCCCCAGGGCTTTAAAGGAGGTATGCCAAGCATATGTCAGCATAACAAACCAGATCACTCCTGACATCATGGAGTAGTAAACAATGACAAATATAATTACGCAAGAAAGTGTTTCATTTGACCTGAGAAAGCAAAAGAACAGAAAAATATGAACATTTACAAAAAAAATGACTGCAATGTGAGTTTAAAATAAACCTGCATATTTGTTTCAAAACCTTTTACCAGTTTTATTAATCACAGAGGATTTCGGCCTCATGGGCACCAGAAAAGGTAAATATTTACTGACTTCTTTTTCAGGTAAGGGGAGTTTAAATATAATTGCATTAGGATGCTTTAATAATGTGTATTTTATTATAATAAACATACTTAAGGCTTGAAACTAAGACAGATATGAGTGCTTCTTGCATAGAAAAAGGAAGTTGTGTTAATTTTGACATCCCAGAGACCTTGATATACTCATTGAACAAAGTCCTTTCAAATTGTTTAGCTGGCCTTTTGCTACCTCCACACGTGGATTCATGTTGATCCATATGGTCTCTGCATACTGTACTTGACTTTTGACCCTATCTTTGGCCAACTTTTGCAAGTGATGCTTGAACTGCTTGAAGCTGCTTGCAAACATGTCTGAATTACCGTATTCACTAGTAGCAGCATTCACTGGAATGGGAGGGGACTCAAAATATACAAGAAAATGTAAGGCCATCCAATGAAGGATTTTGTTTATGTCAACACTGTGCTACAGTCCTGGATTGAGGCCAAGGTTCCCAGATCCAAATCAAATAATGTGAAATAAATAAAGCTTGTTTACATCTGTGGCAGTGAATGGCTGACCATCTGGCTTGTCCAAGCTCTACTCTGTTAGTGGGCTGTTGTAGCAGATAAGGAGGATATATTTACAAAATGAACTGGACTTACGTGGGCTCTCCAAGCCTCATGGTACCATCTCCCCGGCAAACAATTTCTTTACGAGCACCATCCATAAACTGAGCAAGCCAACCAATGCTGCCCATGAAAAAGCAGGCATTGACATAAAAAAGAATCACAGCAGGGTAGCGGTTGGAGTTTTTCCAATCTGAGAGAAATGTGGCCTGGAAAAAAAATGGAAGAGACCAATACATAGTCACAAACAGGGACTGTAACCACCAGGTTAATAGGGGTTAGGGCACTTGCAGACTGAGGATCAGGAGGTATTTTCTGATGTGCTGTATGTTTCTCATTGGTCAATTTAGTGATAATTAATTACTATACTGTAACTGAAAAACACACTACTCATAGCTAAACTGCACTAACCCCACTACTGCTATCTCTGGTTTAATGCAAGTTGGCAATGGGAAGTGTGTAGTACACCGGGGAAACAACGATCTGTAATTATCTCTAAAGCGGCCCACAGTGAAAGTACGTCAAGTGCATACAAACATTACTGTCAAGGATAATGGAAAGGATACATACATACTGAGTATTTTTAAATAATAATGTGAATAACATGAGTGAATATATCACAGCAATAGACATTGTTTGTCTAGAGCAGCCATTCTTAACCAGGGTTCCATGGAGCCTTAGGGTACCTCCAGAGTTAGGGGTTCCTTCGATGGTAGCTGAGCGACTTCCCATTTGCTGGGGCCTGCAGAGTTCCAGGGCCAACACCACTTGGCAAAGCCAGCATCAATGATCTATCTATCTGTCTGCAAGGGTGGCATTCTAACCACTACTGTAAGGGTTGCATTCTTCTCACTGACCAACAATGTAAGGACATTTTTCTCACTGACCCCAATGTTTAAGCAGGGATTCCCTGAGACCTGAAATTTTTTACGGGTTCCTCTGGTGTAAAAAGTTTGCGATAGGCTGGTCTAAAGCAACATTAGAGCATTTTAAGAAAATTCACAATCTGTTCATAGAATCAGCATTTAGAAGGAGAATACTTCAGGTATAGGTATAGAACTTGTTTCCTTTGTGTAATGTAGTGGACAATGGATCTCATCCATTAATGGACGGGATTTAGTACTTGGTGATTTGCACAACCTGACTGCAGTTAATTTACTAAGCAAAGATTAACTGAACTGTAGAGAACATCTCCATTTCTCTAAAAGTAGCCAATTTATTATTTAAATTATGAATATCTGAAGGCTCACTTACCAGTGTAAAAAATGTACAAAATATGGTGACTGAACTGAATATGGCAATGTAGACATGCATTTCTCGGTGTTCTTTCTTGGTAAATAGTGGATTCTCACACTGAATGCCACAGCCCTCCACATCTTCGTACCAGCTCTTTGGGTTGTCCGTGCGTACCAAAGGAGCCTCACATTGCCCGGAGCTGTTAAATTTGATGTTTTGCACCTCATTCTGTAAAAAGTACAATTCATTACTTAAAAAAACCCCTATGGCCTCAAGTACTTTAACATACCAAAACACAAACAATACTTTTAGTCAGGCAATAGTAACTCAACCAAGCTATATTGGCATACAAGTGTAAATTATAATGGTTATTGGGCAATATTATTTCATATTTTAGTTTCATACATTTTTTGTAATGGATGTTTTATATCTGTTTGTTACTATTTATATACAGTCTATATTTTACAAATGAGCATTTACTACAGGGATTACTACAAGCATCACACAGGATTCAAAACACTTTATGGCAGGGATAGGCAACCTTAGAGAGGTGGAGATTTACCTGAACAACATGGGAGAAGTCAAAGATCACCGGGCACAGTGTCGCCTACTAACACCTTATTTAAACCTCTAATTGCCGTACTACCATGTCCCAGTCACGTGCATTGCATGGCAATCATGAATGTAAATCAGATGGTGAGGATATATCGCCTCCTCACCACCTGTCAAATACACTCAGATCGCTTTTCAGAGGAGCAGCAGTGCCAGCTGCACTTATGAATGAGACCCTAGTTGCTTTCAGCAGCTGCACCATTAGGGCTTGTTCATTCAGCAAGATGGGGGGTCTTCAGTTGAGTCACAGTTCTATTGCCCCCCAATCCCTACCTCCTTTAGCTGCTGAGGCAGCAGCCAAAGATGTACACATGCCACAGCAGGAATTAAACCCCCCCAGTTGCTTTTGGTGGGTGCTACTGCCTGCCAATCATGACCCATTCAAGTAAATGGGGCCACTCTGCAAGCGCCTAACAACCGTGTGCTTCTGCGGGGTCCAAGGGGTTAAAACAGGTAGAGAGAAAGCAACACGCTGCTGCCTGCTTTAACACCTTGTTTGCTGTACTGCACAAGGTTGCATGGCACTTGCAGATCAGCCTCATTTACTTGAATGAGTCATGCTTGGCAGGTGCTACACGCACCAACCATGACAGGACGTACAACTCCTGCTGCACCTCTGACCACTGCAGCTAAGGGGGATACAGTTGGGGCAGGGGTGGTAAAAACATGTCTTAACTATGGAGTTTTACTATCCCCAAACTGCAAATGTAAATGAACCCTTACTGTTCTGAGCCCCCTATAAGGTTGCTTTCACACTGATGTTCTACGATTTACATGTACCACGGGTGCATCGCAGTGCATCAGCGACTTTCCTGGGTTAGCTTCGCTTTGCCATAGACCTTTATTATGTCCTGCAGATGTCGAGCACTTTCTGAAAGTGCACAAAACTCTTGCATTCAGGAGTTTTGGTGTGCTTTCAAAAAGTGCACCAAACCCACAGGATATAATAGAAGTCTATGGCTAAGCAAAGCAAACTCACAGGAAAGCTGCAGGTATACTACACTGCACTCGTGGTGTGGGTAAACAGTGTGAAAGCAGCCTTATACGATTATGACCATTGTATTTTTTCACACTGACCTGAAAATATCTTCTTTCCTGCAGCTGGCACCACTCTGGAGACCGCTAGCCAGGGTAAGAGGTGGAGTGCAGTTGGTATCGCTCCGCATGGGACAGGAGCCAGCACTACAGAGGAGATATCGGCTTATGTGGCTCCTACTACATGTGGCTCCTACTACAGCTCCAACTTTATGAATAGTCCATCTGCGTTGTACTCTGTTTGATGCTCTGGGGTGGCGGGTCAGCAAGCTCAGACCAGTCACCTGGCCGTGATCTACTGGTATATTGCGTTCTACTGATTGCTAACCCCCACACTATGGGGTATATTTTTAAAGCAGCAAATCTGACATTCACCAGACATTCGCTGTAGGTTAATATTCCGGTGCATGTTTTTTAAATTACAGTGAATGATTCAACTCCAGTGACAGTAGAGAGGCAGAGGGCTAATTCATTAAGTCGTGTGTTTAAAGGATAGCCTGAGCTACTGAGCTCTGTGAACAACAAGCTTTTATAGGAAATGCAGAAAGGACATCCTATAAACCTCATGATCTTGTTAGCGATTCCTTGCTACTCTATACAGGACCTCTTCTCGTTATGCCAATAAACCAAAGGTTTGTAGTGCCTGCTGCATTTTGGTGGGACATAACCCAGCTGTTCATTAGGCTGACCATGCTAAAAGTTTTGGGAACCTATTCTGAGATGGCTAGAGAGCTATCAGTCATTATGACAGGACCATCTGCTCCCACTCCACAACAAAAAAAATAGTCATCTGCTCAAAAGAAGCCACCAGAGGCTGATGTTGTTACTGCTAATTATGGCATTATTACAGAGCAGTCCATTGTAAACAATTGTGTTGCTAGCTGTGATTGGTCACAGTGATCATAGGTACAGACTGGGCCAATCGCAGCCCATCTGTGTTAAGTGATTAACTGCGGCTAATGAATCAATTTAATTCAGTAAAATGTTTCCTTTTAGCAATGAAATTCACTGCTATAAGCAATCATAATGTGTAAAAAAAAATATTGATCACTTCCCTAGAGTAGTACAATGTTACTATGGTAATATTATATTACTCTAGTCACAGTGTGTTATAAAAAAAAATTGTAAAAAAAGAAAAAGAAAATGTAATAAAAAATGTTTTTTTATTCGCACTACAACCAGTCAGTGTCCCTGATCACCGCCACACCAGTTGTATGATGACACTGTACTGCACTGGTGACAGTATGTAAAAAAAAAATTGTGACAAAAATGATGTAAAAAAACTTGCCCTGCCTCTTACTAAGTACCGCAGACTGTCTACTTTCCATAAAGGGGTAATTTCGGGAATATCTGTACCGTCCTGACATTTTTGGGCCACCAGAAATGAGATAGGCCATCAGTACATCAGGATTGACCGATTTTCAGATATACCATTTTATATGCCAGTTTATAAACGAATTTGACAGGCAGCTCAGAGGCAATACGTGGCCTCCTCACTGCCTGTATTAACTGTGCATTGCACGCAGCTGTTGCCCTTTGTATCTGAATGGGTCACATTTATTGGTGGTTCTGCCTGCCTAAAGGGACATGAAGTATAATTTTTACCACTACTGTGTACCATGTACTAACATTGCCAACTTGCAGCTCAGCACCTCAGCCACCCATGTAAATGAGGCCTAAAAGAGTTCTCTTATGCAAAACAATGTACTAACAGCAAGGGGCACTCTTGTATTCTGGTAATAGAGACCATCATGTCTTCCACCTCGTAACTGCATGTATAGTATATCACACACAGCCATACTGTATAAACAATAAAAGAAGTCTTACAGCGCACTAATATTTTAGAACCCATTCATCATTTTTCTCTTCACAACGTGAGAGCTCCTGAATAGACTAAATAATTTACAGGGACAAGTTCAACAAAAGAAAAAAAGTAATCCTATTTTCAACAATCACTTCACAAAAAATGTATATTTAAAAACTGTAAACAATTCAAAAAATTTAATACAATCTTACAAGCATTTTTTTCAGCATATTAAAAGATATTTCCATATATAATTACGACAGTTAACTTACCGGACAGCCTTCTGGGAATCGGTCTGTGGTGCACTTTAGAAAGTCTGGCCAGCCCCTCTCACGCTCTACAATGGCACAGGGGCTACGTGTAGCCTGACACAGACCTTGACTTGGAAGCTCTACCTTGCCGCCTTCACACTTTGGCATGTACACAGCACACAGGAGTGGCTGTATGGCCTCCCAGCAGCGCGGGGCATTCCGTAAGCCTAACACAAAAGAAAAAAAACATGAGTTCTTTGTGAGACTGGAAGAACAAATTGATCCACAGACACTGTACTTTCTGTAGTTGGAACAAAAGCAAAATTTCATAGGGCACATCTGTAAAGAAGATGGTGGATGAGGAGATGACCGCCAGTAGTTTGTGGTGGAATGGAGACATGCACTGGGCAGCACTTCTAATAGTATGAAGCAGAGTCTGGGTGAAGGAGAGAAGAGACAAGAAGGCGCCTCTAAGTGCAATAAGTCCAAATAGGCTTTAATAAGTATGGTTAAAAACACTTACATAGTTAGTCTGGCTGAAAAAAGACAAAAGTCCATCCAGTTCAACCATTAAAAAAAGTTATAATCCTATACCCACAGTTGATCCAGAGGAAAGCAAAAAAAAACAGCAAAGCATGATCCAATTTGCTCCTGCAGGGGACAAAAATTCCTTCCTCATCCCCCGAGAGGCAATCGGATATTCCCTGGATCAACTTTACCTATGTTAGTATCCAGTTATATTCTGTGTATACTACACTTTCAGGATGGAAGAAATAACAGGCTTATAAAAGGTTTGTCAATGTGCGAGGCTCTTTCCACTGTATAGCAACCCGTTGTGCCGGCCAGCAGCTGCATGGGGAGCTCAGGGTGAGGTGCCAAGATGGCCGCCACTCTTCCGGGAATGTTATTCACTTACCCTGTCAGTGGCCATAAAGTTATGGCTGATCAGTATATACACACTATATTGCCAAAAGTATTGGGACACCTGCCTTTACACGCACATGAAATTTAATGGCATCCCAGTCTTAGTCCGTAGGGTTTAATATTGAGTTGGCCCACCCTTTGCAGCTATAACAGCTTGAACTCTTCTGGGAAGACTGTCTATAAGGTTTAGGAATGTGCCTATGGGAATGTTTGACCATTCTTCCAGAAGCGCATTTGTGGGGTCAGGCACTGATGTCGGACGAGAAGGCCTGGCTCGCAGTCTCCACTCTAATTCATCCCAAAGTGTTCTATCAGGTTGAGGTCAGGACTCCGTGCATGCCAGTCAACTTCTTTCACCCCAAATGTCTTGGTATGCTGACCCCTTAAGAGTTCCCTTCATTGGAACTAAGGGGCCAAGCCCAACCCCTGCAAAACATCCCCACACCATAATCCCCCCTCCACCAAACTTTACACTTGGCACAATACAGTCAGGCAAGTACCATTCTCCTGGCATGCCCCCATACCTAGACACATCCATGGGATTGCCAGACAGAGAAGCATGATTTGTCACTCCAGAGAACACGTCTCCACTGCTCTAGAGACCAGTGGTGACATGCTTTACACCACTGCATCTGACACTATGCATTGCACTTGGTGTAAGGCTTGGATGCACCTGCTTGGCCATAGAAACCCATTCCATGAAGCTCTCTGCGCACTGTTGTACTAATCTGAAGGCCACATGAAGTTTGGAGGTCTATAGCTATTGACTCTGCAGAGAGTTGGTGACTTCTGCGCACTGTGCTCTTCAGTATGCGCTGACCCCGCTTTGTCATTTTACGTGTTCTACCACTTGGTGGCTGAGTTGCTGTTTTTCCCAGTTGCTCACACTTTGTTATAATACCACTAACAGTTGATCGTGGAATATTTAGTAGCAAGGAAATTTCACGGATGGACTTGCACAGGTGACAACCTATCACTACCATGCTTGAATTCACTGAGCTCCTGAGAGCGACCCATTCTTTCACAAATGTTTGTACAAGCAGTCTGCATGTCTAGGTGCTTGATTACACCTGTGGCCATGGAGGTGATTGGAACACCTGAATCCAATGATTTGGAGGGCTGGCCCAATACTTTTGGCAATATAGTGTGTGTGTATATATATACTGTATATATATATATATATCTTTTTAATAAAGGTAGGTAAGATACATATAAATTGCTGAGGATATCCCACAAATGTCAGAAGTTACAGGGAAGGTTATGATAGGTCATGTTTGCAATAATACGTTTCAGTTGAATTTACTTTGAAGTGTAAATCATAGTCATGTTTTACTGACATTTATTCGTTCAAAAACAAGTGATGTGGAACAATTTGCACCTAATCCTTAACACCATCCTAAATTCTGAATAGACATTATTTTTTTCCAAATGTGACATCATCATCAAACTATATATTTTACAGACCAGTAATGTACATTTGTGCTGTAAACCTAAAGTGCAGCAATATCACAGATTTGGGTAACTGCAGAATCATTTGCCATATGAGTAATCCTGAAATGTTTCCATTATATACTTCACAGCTGTGAATGGACTTACATCTGGTTGTTACAACAATCTTATCTATTTTATTTTGATGCATGGAATGTTAGGAAATTGTGGACACATGACGGCAAGAGCAGGGAGGTCTTTAGCTGTATATTCTTATCATTTTCAGTATTAATACATCACCCTCTTCCCCTATAAATACACAAATAATGAAAACAGTTTGTTATATCAACTATAAAGACATTTGGTACCTGTGTGTTTCTCTTGCCCTGTGGAGTTCATTGTTCTACATAGAAGCTATTTTAGTTTAGTACTTCTGCCGAGGTGTGTGTTGGCGTCTGAGCACATAGCCGGAATGCAAACAAAAAGCTGTCTGCAAACATATCAGCGGTGCCACTCTATGGATACACAAAACGCTGGTAATAATGGGTCTGATAAACAGTATTTTGGGACTCTTGGAACAAATGACACAGATGTGGCCTTGTGTCAGAAAATACAACTGTCTATCTTCCCAGATTCTTCCTTTTGAGGTTACAAGAGTAACAAAATAAAGATTGATTGATGGATTGGTGCAGTATGTCTTACATGGGTTTTTATTTAGCACACTTTTGACAGGCAGGGGTTGATTTACTAAAGGCAAATAGGATGTTCACTTTCCAAGTGAAGTTGCACTTTGCAAGAGAATTTGTCCCAGAGCTTATAGATTGTGGTGAAATTTCACTTTTCAAAGAATCCCTAATCAGGAACAAGAGCACTAATATAACATGATTTTTGCCTGAGTGGATGATGGACGTCAGCAGAGATTCACCGCATTCATTAAGCTCTAGGACAAATTCCCTTGCAAAGTGAACTGTCTATTTGCCTTTAGTAAATCAACCCAGTTTGTTAAGAATCTTCCTACAATACAAAGAGTTCATTCTAAATAAATTACAGGGCATATTAAAGCAGCTTTGTGAAAACTGAAATATTTGACAGTGATTGTGATTGGCTGCTGCTGGTATAACAAGCGTTTTATGCGAAAGATTTTAAAAAATCAGCTCTAGCATGTTATTTTTAATAACACCTCAGCATATAAATGTGCAAATACAGACAAATACTAGATCACCCGACTAAATGTGATAAATTTAACTTAAACACACACATTCTACTGACAATTTTAATGAAAAGAAAATGTATTGCATTTAAATGTAAGTCCATACTACAAATACTAGCTGGTAAATGTAGTGTAATGTAATATATACAGTATATATATATATATATATATATATATATATACACACTTATACACACAAACATACAGTAAATCTGTATATTTCATGTATGAATTTTTATTTACAAACCCAAAGTGACAAGGGTCTTCAGAAATCCCTACAATGTCTATCCCAAAATCTGAATCATATGTAGATATCTTTTAAAGCGGAGTTCCACCTAAAAAAAAAAACAAAAGTCAGCAGCTACAAAAACTGTAGCTGCTGACTTTTAAAATACAGCCACTTACCTGTCCCTCGGTCCAGTCGTGACCTCACCACCTCTGGTTTCACTGGTCATCTTCTCTCCCTGGCGCCGTCATCTTCAGTGTGGGCACCCGGCTGTGACAGCTTGCGGCTTCACAGCCAGGTGCCCACTGGGCATGCACGAGAAGCGCTGTGTTTCTGGGAACTGTCACGTGACCCAGAAGAGTATGGGGAGGGAGAGGGAAAGGACAACTTCTGCTTCTGATCGCCTAGGTGATCGCAGCGGTAGTGGGAGTAGGTACCTGTCAAATTCAGGTACCCACTCCCCCCCGCTACCCAAAGGTGCCAATCCGTAATAGGGAGCGGGGGACAAAGGCTTAAAGTGGAACTTCCCCTTTTGGGTAGAGCTGTGCTTTAAAGAGACTCTGACGCTTTGCCCATTCAGGGTAAAATGGCAGGTTATTTTTATTATACAGGATTTATTTAGTGTGAACAGATTGCACAAAACTTTACAAAATAAAAGGGAGACAGTACAGTTAGATCCAATTCAATACAAGAGGGATCAGATGACCTTGCTAGTGAGAGCTTACAAGCTTAAAGAATGCCTTAAAAATGCTGATATTAATCTGCACTGAGCTCCTCTGACATCATCCCTCAATGAATGTGCTGGTCAGATAGACCCATTTGACAAAAGTAGTGGTGCACCAAATTGAAAATTCTGGTGCCAAAACCGAAAATTCAGGAGGCACTTGGCTGAAAACCAAAACTGAAATGGACAGTTTTTTAAAAATTTATATTTTTTCAAACTCAATTTTTTTGGAAAAAGATACACTTTAATGATTAAAAAACAAAAAAAAAAACACAATATATACCCCAATTTTTGTAAAGTATGAAAGATGATGTTACGCCGAGTAAATAGATACCTAACATGTCCTGCTTTAAAATTTCACATGCTCGTGTAATGTCGCCAAACTACAGTACTTAAAAATCTCAATGGGTGATGCTTTCAAAATTTCTACAGGTTACCAAGTTACAGAGGAGGTCTAGTGCTAGAATTATTGCTCTTGCTCTGACGTTCACGTGGGATACCTCACAGGGGCATTTTAAACATTTTTTTTTTAAAATTACTTTTTTTTTTTACACTGTTCCATTACTTTTTTTTTTTAATCACTTTTATCCCTATCACAAGGAATACAAACATCCCTTGTGATACAAATAAGCAGCGACAGGTCCTCTGTATGGAGAGATATGGAGTCAATAAAACCCCACATCTCTCCTCTACAATATAAAGCATTGATCTAGTGCTTTGAAAAAAAAAAAAAAAAAAAG